GAAAACATGGCGGTAAGCACCAAGAGAGGTGGGTCCATCCCTGGGGCCCAGCCAGGCATGGAGGATGGAGAGCACTGGGCAGGGAGGTCCCCTGTCCCTGTGTGAGAGGTGTGTGCAGGAATGTTTGTGTGTCACTTCTCCCCATGCAAACCTTAAAGACAAGAAGGTACATAAAAAGACTCCAGCTATGTAGTATTTATTTTTAACAAGGGCTCGGCCTACTTGATGTTAAAGTGAATGTTTGTACTGCATAGTTCTGATTGATTGCCGTCGAACTCACTTGAATACGAGTCATTTTACCAGGTGTCCCTTATTCAGCATGGGGAAATATGGTCACCCTATCCAGGGACTCTGGCCCCACCGGCTGCTGGCCGCCCCTGCCTCTCCCATCCACAGTATTTTGGGCTGTGTGCCCCCTCATGCATCATCCCTGGCTGCAAGTGTAGACGATACCTAATTCTTTTTTGAACACAGTTATATTTTGGGATTTCACAACATCCTTTGGAAATGAGTCCAACAGGTTTACTATGTGTTACATGAAGAAATATTTCCTTAAGTTTGTTTAAACTCACAGCCTCTTAGTTTCTTTGGGTGGCCCCTGGTTCTTGTGTTATGTGAAGGGGCAAATAACACTTGCCGGTTCATTTTCTCCACACCACTCATGATTTTATAGACCTCTATCATATCCCCTCGGAGTTGTTTCTTTTCTAAACTGAAAAGTCCCAGTCTTTTAAATCTCCTGTCATATGGAAGCTGTTCCACACCCCTAATAATTTTTTATGTCCTTTCCCAATTCTAATAGATAGAGTTGAGATGGGGCAACCAGAACTGTATGTGGTATTCATAGTGTGGGCATACTATGGATTCATACACTAGCATTATGATGTTTACTGTCTTATTATCCATCCCTGGTCTAATGGTTCCTAACTTCCCGTTAAGTTTTTTTGACTACCACTGCACATTGAGCAGATGGTTTTGAAGATCTATCCACAGTGCCCAAGCTTTTTCTTGAGTGGTGTGGCCCACCCCCTTTTCCCCACGGTCTGGTCTCTTTAACTGCAGGCCCAGAGGCCTAGTCCTTTACATGAAGGCCCTGCGGCCTAGTCCTTAAAATTGGATCCCCTCGTCGTCCAGGATCTGGGCGGAAGAGGTAGGGGGGCCCTGGCCCTCCCTCTCCACCGGGCCCCAACCCAGGGCCCTATCAGTGGCGGGTGGTTCCCACCACTGGCTCAGTGGGGAGTTCTCCCTGAAACTTGCTGGGTCCTTCGTTGGCCCCCGCCTTGGGTTGCTTCCTGCCCCCTCGCCCTGTCCGATGACGGTCCCACCTGTGGATGCGGGTCCAGCAACAGCAGCGACATCGGCAGGGGGGGCTTGGGAGACAGCAGGGGCCAGGACAGCGACGGCTTCTCAAGAGGCTGCACAGCACGGCCAGCATTGTGGTCTGGCTCGTTCTGGCGACAACAGCTCTTAGTCCAGCTGAAGTGGCTGTGGCTCCGGTATCTGGAGAGGAACTCCTTCCCCTTCAGCGGCCCACTCCAACTGAGCAACCCGGCAGCCTTTTATACCGGGGCTGCACTGCGAGCATGCCCAGCAGGGCTTCGGGGGAGGGGCGTATTTTACCCAATAGGCGGGCTCTCCGCCCCCATGTTCAGTGCGGGGCTGGCCAGCCCCTTCACAAGTGGTTACAACTAATTTAGGGTCCATCATTTTGTAAGTATGCTGGAATTTTGTATTTTCCAACATTGAATTTCATCTGCCATTTTATTGCCCAATCACGCAGTTTAGGGAAGAGGGCCTTTTGTAAATCTTTGCACTCAGCTTTTGATGTAACTGTCTTGAATAATTCTGTATTGTCTGTAATCTTTATCACCTCTCTGTTTAGCCCCGTTTCTGGATTATTTATGAATATTTGAACAGTGCTGGTCTCCATACAGGTTCTTGAGGGTTACCCCTCTCCATTCTGAAAATTTACATTTATGCCAACCCTTTGTTTCTGTCTTTTAACCAGCTACTGATCCATGAGAGAATCTTCCCTCCTAGCCCTTGACTTCTTTCTTTGCTTAGAGCCTTTGGTGAGGGACTTTCTGAAAGTCCAAGTACATAATGTCAACTAGATCACTCTTGTTCACATGCTTGTTGACTCCTTCAAAGAATTCTAATAGATTGGGGAGGCATGATTTCCCTTTACAAAAACCATAATGGCTCTTCCCTAACACATCATCATTACTCTGACAGATGAGCTTTGCCTACCTTTTTCTTAGCATCGATTACTACAAATGATGCTACTGGCTGTAAAATTATCCAGCTGTAATATTTGACTCAGATACCTTTATCCTCTGCTAGCCCATGGTTCCTGAGGGACTCCACAGCAGAGCTTAGGAACAGAAAACTGCTTTGTAAAGAGTTGTGGAGACTTCTTTGCTTTTTAGTTCTTAGACACCTTCTGCAACTGTGTGTTATAGTTTATTCACTTGAGGCATGTCAGGAATGATCATGCAGCCATTATCGGTGTAACCAGCAGGGTTTCAATATACATAAGCTCAACATAATTGTGTCATTTTGTTTGTATAATCCTTGTACACAAGAAGTCCTGCCTGCCTTCTCACACCAAGCACACAGGCTCCTGCAGCGATTCAGCTGTATGGCTAATTTTCAAATAAACTTCTGTCACACATTTTCTTTGTTCTCTGTCGCTTGACACCCTCTGCCTGTGGTTCATAAACACATTTACAGTCCCTCTGTGCTGTGAGAGGATTGGTTTGCATTTCAAATGAATTTAATTTACTGTTGAATAAGTCAATATGTTAGCTGAATGTTCCTTCTGTACTTAAAAATCTTTTCTTCATTAGCTGCCCTCACATAATAGGTGAACCTTCCCCATTTATGCCTAAGGAAAAAGTATGTTAAATAGACTAGAAACCCTCCTCAGTCTTAATTTGCAGGGGAAGCAACCCTCTAACATACCAGCGCTACAGAAACATGCCCCCCTGTATTTACTTTATCCGCTTGATTAATTGTTAACCAAGATTATAAGACCCTTGGAGCAGGGGCTTTATTTCTTACTCTCTATTTATTTCTCTATTTCTTGTTTGTACAGTGCCTAGGACTGGGGGGGAGTTGGGAGGGGAGGTCCTGGCCACTAGGAGTCACTGTAACATATATAAAGCATTATAAGTCACTTCACTGTGGTCTCTCACTGCAGGTATGTGCTAATAGCCTGACATTTGTTCTGCCCACCGAAGGAGTTGAATACCTGCAGCTCTCACTGATGGCGATAGGAGGTGCTGAGCTGGAAAACCAAGACACCACCTGTTTACAACTGTGTAGCCAAAATTAGAGTTAGGTTCCTAATCTTGGCACCAAAATTTGAAAGTGTCAACCTAAGGGGCTTGTACAGTGTATAATTAACAGAGCAGGCAGCCTAATATCCAGTAAAAAGGGAATTGGAAACAATTGGAACCATTACAATTCCTGGTTGGGAGCAGGTAATTCTTCTGGGGGACTTGTGAAGCGGAGCCTGCAGACTATGCTATACCAACAATGCTAAAAACAGACAAAACAATCACTTGATATCTCAGGGCTGGCAGTAGATCACATAATAATCCCAAGGTCAAGTACATGCTTTAAGTGAGCTGTGCTGTATTATACAGAATTTTCCCTTCCCCCAGTTACAAATCACCTGATCCTGTGCACTCACTTCATTAGGATCAGGGTTTAGCCTTAAGTAGGGATAAAATGTCAGGACAATGCCAGGTATTTTGTTTGGCTAGCAAACGATTGCTGTGCCATGGTGAATGAATGTTTGCTTTACTAATCAGAGGATTCTTTTCTTTCCCCAGATTGGTGTTCAGCATGGCAGGTGTGTCAACTTTGATCCTCTTCCTGTGCGCTGTTAAGGATGTTATGCCCGCCAATTCTCTCTGGAAACCAACCTGGCCATCTTACAAAGTTCCAGTAATCCTGCCACAATCTACCGTTAATCTAGACAAACCACAGTTTGATGCAGAAACCAAACTGGAGGTGGTATCTTCTTGTGGCCCAGAATGCCACAAGCGTTCCCCGCTGCCAACATATGAAGAAGTGAAGGACTATCTGTCCTATGAGACCTTGTATGCCAATGGTAGTCTTGTTGAAACTGAAGTAGGCATTTACATTGTCAACAGTGGCAGTGAAGGGTCACAAAGCAAATCTCGAACAAAGAGGCAGATCTATGGCTACGACAGTAGGTTTAGCATTTTTGGCAAGGACTTCTTGTTGAATTACCCTTTCTCCACTTCGGTGAAGTTGTCCACAGGTTGCACAGGTACTCTGGTGGCAGAAAAGCACGTCCTTACCGCAGCTCACTGCATCCATGATGGCAAAAGTTATGTCAAAGGAGCCCAGAAACTGAGGGTGGGCTTCCTGAAGCCTAAACTGAAAGATGGCAGCAAAGGGACTAATATCACAAGCTCAACAATGCCAGAAAAAATGAAATTCCAGTGGATCCGAGTGAAACGGACACATGTCCCCAAAGGATGGATCAAAGGAAATGCTAATGATATTGGCATGGATTATGACTATGCCCTACTGGAGCTCAAGAAGCCTCACAAAAGAAAATTCATGAATATAGGTGTGAGCCCACCCACTAGACAGTTGCCTGGAGGTAGGATTCACTTCTCTGGCTATGACAATGATCGTCCAGGGAATCTGGTTTACCGTTTCTGTGATGTCAAAGATGAAACATTTGACCTCTTGTATCAGCAGTGTGATGCCCAGCCAGGGGCAAGTGGGTCCGGGGTGTATGTGAGGATGTGGAAAAGACAGCATCAGAAATGGGAGCGTAAAATTATTGGAATATTTTCAGGGCATCAGTGGGTGGACATGAATGGCGCCCCACAGGATTTCAATGTGGCTGTTCGCATCACACCCCTGAAATATGCACAAATCTGTTACTGGATCAAAGGCAACTATCTTGACTGTAGGGATGGATAGACAATGAACTTTCTAGAAAGCACTTAATTGTCTTAATTATACTTATCCATGGAAAAGCCAAACTTCTTTTGTTATAAATGTGTGTGATTCTACTTTGAAATGCCTAGACATAATTTATAAAATTATAAGCAGGACACCTTACTCTTTGGAAGGTGATTGTGTGACAGAGTTGCAGTTAGAAAATGTTAATTTGAGGAGGAAGGGAAAAACTGTTGGGAGGGGAGAGCTCAGGTAGAATTTCTGACTTTGCAGTTCTAGTGATTTAAGATTAATTTGGGGGTTGGTAAACAATACATAATCCGAGGGGTCTCCAAAGAGTTGTATGAAAGGAATGCTGTCGGGGAACTCACACCTACTTTGTTTGTACCTCAAACACAGGCTTAATGGAAATGTTTTCATCTGAAACTTTAAAAGAAAGTATTTCTATGATATCAGAGGTAAAAAAGGGTGTTTAACAACAACTCCCCCAACCTGCAGTGTTTCAGAATTGTGTTATTGCATGAGAACCAGAGTGCAACAGAGACTAGGTTTACATTGTTGAAGATGAATGTCATGCAAATAACTGTAAGGGTAAATAAATAGAGGGTTTTTTCAAACTGTAATGTTTAGTGATTTGAAGCTTTATGAGTAACATAGGTAAGAAAATACTGTTTAAACATCTAGGCCATAGTCATGGAAAACTGGACATGCCTGGATCTTAAGTCACACACATCGTGCCTCAGAGTTCTGCTCACTCAAGCAGTATTATGCATGGGATTAATTGTTTAAGAATCTGGGCCACAGTTGTTAACATGACCATGTCCCTATAAATATATTGTGTAGAAGGTGTATGGGGGAAGAAGGTTGTTTCCTTTTGTGACTTATTTAGATCTTTAATCATGGAAAATTTCTAGCTCTTCGTGACTACTCCAGCAATGCAAGTCCTGTCCGAGAGGAGGAGAAGCATCCTTAGGTTTTTTTTGGCTTCCTAAATTGTAAGGCTTTAAAGTAGAAAGAGAATATTGTAAGAAAGAAAGAAAGAAAATTTGTTAACAGATTTCTATCTGTATCTCTGCCACCCCGGTTTGGCAGTGTACTTTAACCTCTTGACTTCTGAATTTTTTCCTTGCAGCATTTGTGGTAGTTTTCTTTCAAAATTGCCAAGTTATGAGCAGTTCTTGACACACGTAGCTCACCAGTTCTACAGCTTGTAATAGAGCTAATTGAAAGAGAACCAGATTATAGGACATAATCCAATATATGAATAAAATGATGCACCAGTGTCTCGTATGGACATTGATGCCTGTCATTTTATTGTAGACAAATTATAATTCCAACAGAAACTACCTTTTTATGGGTTGAAACCCCCTGCCAAATACTGTTGCACAGCAAACAACATTGGTAGAACAAAGAACTTTCTACACATCATGTTTCTCAGGTGGATTATGCCACTGTATTTCAGTAACACTGCTAGGCTAGTGTCATGGCAGCCTGTCGCCACTCTTTAAATAGGAAAATGGTCACTTATTCAAATGCTAATCTCCATTCCATCCATGCATCTCCCTGTAATGTCTGAATCTCATTGCATTAGGCACTGCACAGATGTTACCGGGACAAAATTCAGCGCTGTCCAGCAAAACTGAGCTAAGCAAGATTGAGTCTATGTGGGCTTGTTCCTGAGCTTTATAGGACACTTGTAATTCAGTTAAGCCTTATTTTTCTTTCATTTTGCTAATTTTATGGTGTGGGAAAATACACTCCTGATGGTGCTCTATCTTTCTAGAAGTGTTGGCTCTAGTTATGAAAGCCATTTTTGCTGGAGCAGCCTAAAGATGTTTTTGATTGTGGGTGCAGTGTTCAAAACTGTGGAACCCTTCCTTGCTGGGTGTTTGCACTCAGATGCATACAGTTACTAATGCTTTAAAAATATGAGTAATCACCATATGTAACTGACAGACTTCTTCTGCTATTTTATTCTAGATTTACTTTATTTTGTGACTGTCAGCTGGAGCACTTCTCTTTGAATGTATCACAGTGAATAAAGAAAAGTAATGGAATTTCAGTGCAGACACTCTTGTACCATACCTGGGGTTGTAACTTCAATCTCTTTTTGCTTTTACTTATTTGTAAAGACATTCAAATACAGCACAGTCGTATCAACACCCTCGAGACTGTTTCTTCATTTATTTCCTTTCAGCTTTCTTTTCTCCATGCTCATTACAGATAATCAAATGTATTTCAGTAGAGATGAGTATTTAACCCTACGGAAATGCCTCTGAAAATCCCTGGCTTTATGTGATTATTGCATTTCCAAAACAAGAGTCATAGGATCATCTTAGAGATGAAAATGACTTATTACAACAAATAGTCAAACCCATTCTTAGTGTAACGCCACTGAAGTAAAGGGGGAAAGGATTTGGCCTAGTGATTCCAACTCTTGCAAGTGCAGGATATAATCTCATGACAAAGAATATAATGCAATTGATTTTTCAACTCTCACATGGGTGTAAATCAGAAACAACCCCTTTGATATCAGTAGTTACAATGAAAAGAGAACGAGTCATTGAGTGTACTTATGTAGCATTCATTGAATTTTATTTCTAGATGTGCAAGGAGGAGTGTGAAATTCTGAGAGTTTGGTCTCTGATTCTTTGAAACACATAAGCACATGCTTACTTCCCATAGAAGCATGTTCTTAAGTGCTTTGCCGAACTGGGACCTTGTTCTAAAGCAGGGGTCAGCAACCTACGGCATACGTGCCATAAGTGGCACGCAAGCCTATTTGGCGTGGCACTGGGTGGGAGCTCAGCCCCCTTCTCCCATGCGTATGGAGGCAGCAACTGCTCTGGTGTCAGGCAGCAACTGCTCTGGTTGCTCTGGCCGGAGCCAAAACCAGAAGTCACATGTCAGGTAGTGGCGGCCCCCGCCGGGGCCAAAACCAAAGGCCACGTGTTGGGTAACTGCCGGAGTTGATCATCGGAGGCTGGATCATCCCTGCCTGTGGTGCACCAGGCCCCACAGAGCTGGAGCAGCCCGCTGGCCGTAAGTAGTAAGCAGTAAGGGTGATATTAACCTTTCACATCCCTATTTTGAATAGGCGTTTAATAATTGGGCTTTATTGTTTTATATTGATTTGTGTGTATGTGCTAGGTTGGCTTTTGTTTTTAAACCACCCAGCTGGTGGCCTTTTTTGAGCTTTTAAAACATTTTAAGTAAGAAGTATTATTTTTTGTATTTTATAGAAATACCTATAATTATTTTAAAATTTTTATTTTAATGATCATTATTATTGGTTCAGTTGCTTCACTATTGACAAAGGGATTTAGTGTGTTCATTTTGGGTTTCTCTTTTTATTTTTACTTATTTTATGTTTAATATTAATCACTTAATGTGAAAAAAAAAAACTGAATCTGTGAAAGCTTCACAGGAGAAGCAAGAGCAGAGCCCAGGGCAGGAGACCAAGCAGGGCGTGCAGCGGGGAAATCCCTCCCCTCTTCCCAGGAAAGTGGCACGGCCCAGGGCAGGAGGGTTAAATCTTGCTGTGCCACTTCAGAAAGGTTGCCGGTCCCTGTTCTAAAGCAGCTTAATATCAATTCGGAGGTGCTATTTAGGCTGGTGGAGTGAACATTTTCAATAGGCAAGCCAGCTGGTAGGTATAATTTTTTTTATCAAATCATCAGCTTACTTATGCAGCGCAAGATCTAGTGACGGCTCACTTTCTTCTTACTGTAATCTCCATGCATGCACTTTAGATTTTTAATGATAAAATTCAAGAGAATTTGTAGACCTCTTGGGTGAAATTTTCATATGTGCTCAGCATTATCTTAATTGTCCAGTCACATCAGTGGATGTTTTGACATAGGCCAATGCGGAGTGGTTTTGAAAATCCCACTCTCTTTTTCTTGCTGTTATAATTAGGGCATGTTTTAACTAGAGAAAACATGTTCATCAAAGGGGTAAAAATAACTATTTTTAAAGGCACAATATGGTTTTAAACTCCCAGTACTCCACAGAATTAGACTAAGAACATACTGCCTTGCTTTTGTATCTCAGTATAGTGCAGAGGAGGAACCTGGATATTCTGTTCCTGGTCATTTTAGATTCTGGTAAATGGAAAGGATTACATGGGATGAAGCAAACCTCTCCTGTTACAGCATCTTACAAGGTTAACATAGGGTAAACCCCAGTTAATCTGAAATAACTCTCCCCTCTGGATGTTGAGGATGGGGGCTGGATGAAAAGAAGAAAGAACACAGAACATCCTCAACTCTCCCAGAAGGCCATGCTGAGCTTGTTTCGCTGAGAACTGTAGAATGTCAACATGGTGTATTGTCAGAGCAAAGGTATTCTCCTTGAATCTGTAATTGCTTTGCAATGGAATTCCCAGGCCTGACTGTGTGTAGAGCAGCAATGATCTTAAAGTTCCATACTGAACTCTGAGCAAGTATAATACATGCTTGAAATTCTTTTCCATGTTGCCACTTAATCTGCCGTTTGTTAGCTCTTCCTGGTAGAGTGCCAACTCAATATGCACACTCTCTCTTTTCAAGAGAACCTTACAAAGAATGGAAAGAGCCTGCCGGGTGGGTATTATTGGAGTAAAAGGAAAGGGTGGACAGCCTAAAGCAGTAGAGAGAGGACTGGAGTTAAATGGGACAGCAAGACAGCATACAGTAAGAATAGGGCTTAAAGCAGTGTATTGGTCAATTTTTATAAATGGTGATTTGCACTTTCATTACATTTAGTCTCGGAGAACCTAAAAGCATATTGCAAATATACAGTAATCAAAATGCCTCTGTGAAGTAGGTAAATAATAAGTAGATTCTGAATTTTTAAAGATATGAGAACTCAAGCACAGAGACCATAGGCCAAAATTTCCAAACAAAGATCCAAAAGTTAGGCATTTACAGATAAATACATGGTTTGATTTATAGATGTCCTAAGCTCTCATTTAGGAGCTCAAATACAGGTAGGCAACCAGACTTGAACATTCTGACCTAAGTGATTTTCTCCATGGTCTCAAAGGAAGTTTTTACTAGAGCTGGGACTGCAGCCACGATCTTTCCCAGATCAGACATATGCTTGAACCCCAAGAATATCTTTTCCCATTTCTCTACAGTGAATACTAGCTGGAATCTGAAATGTGTACCATGGATGCTACCTGAACATGGATTTGTATATGTGAATAAAAAAGGGGTAGAACAAAGCATTTAAGAGTGGGGTGAACTCTTGCCATTGTTAATATGAAATTGATGGAAAAATAACAATAACATTTTGCATTTTGATGCCTGATTCTGAAGTAAGTTGTTGTCTTTCTATTAACACAAGGAGATGAAGAATCAGGCTTATAGAGCTTTTTGGCTAAGAATTTGAAAGTACTTCACAAACACCAGCTGAGTGAGTTTATATACAGTTTGCGGGTTAGTGGAGGAGAGGAGCTAATATTATGCAAAGATTTTATGAGATATCTAATGTTTTTGTTAAAAGATAATAAAACATAATTAACAGCATAAATGTGTGTGTATGTGCAGCTGTAGTTAAAGAACTAGATACCTTTATTACTCAGTCAAGCCTATGATTATATTAGACAGGAAATTCAACTCACTCCACATAGTGAAATTGTCTGTTATTTATAGCAAGATTCATCGACATTCACTATCTTTGGATTCAGAAATCACTGATCACTGTGCTTTCATAGGAAGATTTGTTTTCCTAATAAGTGACCCAACAGGATCAGGTGTAATCCATGATGGTATAATGTGGTAAGATTTTATCAGCATTTCTTTTGGAACATCAGACAGTCTTATCTATAGTAAAACCATAAGAGAGTTGTTGTGTCATTCTGAAGTTCTAATAAATTGTTTTTGCCCCACCGTCATGCACTTGGGAGATGCCATATGCGATACAGAAGAAAACTGAGGAATGATTTAGAGGTGAAATCTTTTATACTGGAAATATTTCTTGTATCATTCTGCCTGTCAATCCAGAGGCATTAACTACTATGGTGCTATTAGTAGAAAATATGTATTAGTTTTAATTGAAAACACTTCCAAAAATTACCTAGTAACTTTTCTAGTCCTAAACCCAGATTCTTAGATGGAATCAAGACCACAGCCCAGAAGGGGGTTGAGTGACCCAAAGGTTGATTTAAGCTGAGTTGTGCCATTGGTTTTCTCCTGGGTTTTATACTGCTAGGATACGTCTACACAGCATGGCTATTGCGGGATACCGGAGTATCAAAATAACAGGTGCGCTATTTCAGCATCCCTGTAACCCTCGTTCCATGTTCGGTTAGTCTATAAGGTGCCACAGAACTCCTCGCCGCTTTTGCAGATTCAGACTAACATGGCTACCGCTCTGATATTCGAAATAGTGTGTTATTCAAAATTTGGCACTGTGTAGATGCGCCAAATTTCAAAATAAGCTATTTTGAAATAGAATCAAAATAAGATATGTAATTTGCATAGCGCAAATAGAGTATCTTATTTCGAGTTTAGGGTGCTGTGTAGACACACACCAGGAACCAAAACAGTAGGAATAAGGGGAATGGACTCAGTGCTCAGGTGTTGGTACTGTAGCTTATAACCATGGCTCAACAAACCGCGGCGAAATCCACTTGCCAGCCTCACACAGCGCATGCGCCAGATCCACACTACACATGTACGCGCTGCCAGTGAACAGGGTGACCAGCTGAAATCTACTCACCACGGGTAAATAGATACGCGGATTTGTCGAGCCCTGCTTATAACCAACCCTTTCGGTAAAGTTCTCTGTTAAGTAAAAACTCATCTGGTAGCCGCTTTGTGATCTTATTTCTACTAATAATGGGATTTAATTACATGGTTTTTTTTGGTGGGTGGGAGAATGCTGCCATAATTGGGATTGAAATTATACTTGGCACAAGGGTTAAATAAACCATTTCCAAGGGTACTCAGACTTCAGTGGTTCAGGAACCAAATTAGCAAACAACATTACCCAAAAGAGCCATGGTAGCGTGACTGCCTCGTTCCATTAACTGTAGTACCATATATATTCATATTAGAAGATTTACCCAGCATTGCCCGGGTCCTTAACTCAATTAATTTTTGTTTTTCCTCATTTAAATCATTGCTCTGGGGAGGGGCTGGGAATGAGGCTGCAGTATGCAGGCTGCCCCAGGGAG